TTAAACTTAACCATCCTTTGTTGTTACATGATGTCAAGTTGGTTCCAACTCATAGTAATGCTATATAGTGTTTCTGAGGAGCAACTTGTGGGTTTGAACTGTTACCTTGTAATTCAAACTGACGTTGTAGTCCAGTGCTTATCTTATAGTGTCACACTAGTATATTTATAGCTCATTGTGATTTTGATTTGCAGCTCTCTCTGCTGGCCAAAGACGCTTAGCATCTTTTTATGTGTTTTAATGTCCACTTTGGTAAAATGTCTATTCAAGTCCTTTGTCCATTTTATGATTAGATTATCTGATGTTTTATTATGTTGTCAAAGGTTTATAAAGATTTTGGTTTTGAGATTCTTATTATATATATAATTTCTGAAATCATTCTCTAAATAGTAACTTTTTTTTTTCCTGCTTTTGATGAACAAAGATTTTAATTTTTATGAGGTCTCATTGGTTTTGTATTCTTTTGTGTATGCTTTTTGGTATTAGATAATCCATTGTCAGAATCCTGGTGTGGCACTGTGGGTTAATGCGCTGGATTGCAAAGTCAGTTTGAACCACAAGGTTGGTGGGTCAAGCTCACCAGCTGGTCCTCAGAAACCCTATACGAGTTTACTGTGGGTCAGGTCTGACTCGACTCGACGGCACTTAACAACAACAGTAACAACAATTCATTGTCAAAAGCTAGGCCTAATAGCACTGCTCCTGCATTTTCTTCTAAGAATTTTATGATTTTAGATTACACATTTAAGTGCTTAATCCATTTTTCATTTGTTGAGGCATGGATCCTGAGTCATTGTTCTACATTTAGAAATCCAGTTTCCCCAACACCATTGATTAAAGATACTCTTCTTTCCCATTCAGTAGACTCAGTACCCTTGTCAAAATTCAGTTGATCGTAAATGTGAGGATTTATTTCTCATTTTTCAATTCAATTCTATTGATCTATGTGTCTGTTGTTTTATCAGTGTTAGGATGTTTTAAAATCTGCAAGCGTGAGTCCTCCTACTTTGTTCTCTTTCAACATTACTCTAGCTATTTGGATCTTCTTACCATTTCATGTATAAGGGAACTTCAAAAGGTTCATGGAAAAATTCAGTTAAGAGAGAATGGAATTTTTCCACAAACATTTTGAAGTCCTTTCATAAATTGAGAATTGATTTTCTATTTCTATAACGAAGACTATTGTGCATTGGGTCATTCTGTTGTCTGTAGGGTTTCTATGAGCCAGTACCAACTCAGTGGCACCAATGATAAAATCACCATTATCATACTATAATGGCTTACGTATTGCTATGATTCTGGAAGCTGTGCCACGGGTATTTTAAATAACACTAGGGTCACCCATGGTGGACAGATTTCAACTGAGCTTCCAGACAAAGACAGACCAGGAAAAAAGAGAGACAGACAGCGTCCAAATATTTAGTCACTGAAAACCTTACGAATAGCAACTATCAACATGAGAGTGTTGAATATTGAAACATGATGAAGAGCCACTCAGGTTAGAAGACACTCAAAATAAGACTGGGGAAGAGCTGTCTCCTTAAAGTAAAGATGGCTGTGATGATGTGAATGGAGTAAAGCCTTCAGGACCTTCATTTGCTGATGGGGCACAACTCAAAATGAAGAGAAAAAGCTGTAAACATCCATTAATAATAATCAGAACACGGAATGTATATATGTATGAAATATGAATCTAGGAAAATTAAAAATTTTCAAAAATGAAATGGAACATATACACATCAATATAAACATCAATTAGTATGCTGAAATGCACTGGTAATGGCTATTTTGAATCTGAAAATCACTTGGCTTACTGTACTACGAATGACAAATTGAAGAGAAATGGTGTCACATTCATCATCAAAAGGAACATATCAAGATTTGTCTAGAAGTACAATGCTGTTTGTGATAGGATAATACCCATATACAACAAGGAAGACCAGTTTATATCACTATAATTCAAATTTATATACCAATCATATTGAAGGAAAAAGTTCAAGGTGCATTGAAGGCATTGGCAAATAACAATGCACCAGGAATTGATGGAATACAAATTGAAACATTTCGTCAAACTGATGTAGCACTGGAGATACTCACTCATCTTTGCCAAGAAATTTGGAAGAAAACTACCTGGCCATTTGATGAAGAGATACATATTTGTGCCCAGTACTAAGAGAGATGACCCAATGGAATATGGAAATCATCAGAAAACATCACTAATATCACATGTAAGTAAAATTTTGCTAAAGATAGTACAAAAATGGCTGCAATCAACATTGACAGAGAATTTCCAGAGGATCAGAAGTGGTCATGGAACAAGGGATATCATTGCTAACATCAAATGGATGTTAGCTGAAAGCAGAGACTGCCAGAAAGATGTTTATCTGTGCTTTATTGACTATGCAAAGGCTTTTGATTGTATGGATCATGACAAGTTATGGACAACATTGCAGAGAATGGGTATTTCGAAACATTTAATTGTGCTCATGAGACACCTGTACATAGACCAATAGTTTTTGGAGCAGAACAAGGAAGTAACCGAATGGTTTAAAATTAGGAAACATGTGCACCAGGGCTATATTCTTTCTCCATACTTATTCAATCTGTAGTCTGAGCACATAATCCAAGAAGCTGGATTATATGCAGAAAAAAAGTGGCATCCAGATTGGAGGAAGACTCATTAACAGCCTGTGCTATGTAAATGATACAACCTTACTTACTGAAAGCAAAAAGGACTTAAAATACTTATTGATGAGGATCAAAGATCACAGCCTTTTTGGTACGGCTTGCACTTCAATGTATAGAAAACAAAAATCCTCACCACTGGACCAATAAACAGCATCAAGATAAATGGGAAAAATATTGAAGTTGTCAAACACTACATTTTGCATGTATCAATCATTAATACTCATGGAAGCAGCCAGAAATCAAATGACATATTACATTATTCAAATCTGTTACACTAGACCTCTTTAAAGTGTTTAAGAGCAAAGATGTCAGTTTGAGGACTATGGTACACCTGACTCAGACCGTGATATTTTCATTGACCTCATATGTATGTGAATGTTGGACAGTGAATAATGAAGAGCATAGAAAACTTGATGCATTAGAGTTACGGTGTTGGAGGAGAACATTAAAAATACCATGGACTGCCAAAAGGACAAACCTTGTGTTGGAAGAAGTACAGCCAGAATGCTTCTTGGAAGCCAGGATGGCTAGACTTCATCTCTCAGAGGTCAGACATGTTTCCAGGAGGGGCCAGTCCCTGGATAAGGATACCATGTTTGGTAAAGTGGAAGGTGGAAGCAAAAGAGGAAGACCCCCAACAAGATGGAGGTGGATTGGCACAGTGGCAGCAGCTATGGGCTCAGACATAGCAGTGATTGTGAGGTTTATGCAAGACCAGGCAGTTTCATTCTGTTGTGCATAGAGTTGCTTTGAGTCAGCACTCACTCTATTTCTTGTTTCATTACTGTATAAAAACACACTTCCCTTAGTTGACCCACCCCCATGTGCTGTTCTTAGCCAGGGGTATTTCCTTTGCTCCACTTTGCCTGGATAATGCCCATTGGTCCTGATAGTCTCAGCTAGAGGTCACTTCCTCATACAAACATCCTAGGAGGCACTGCATGAGTTTAGGACCATTGTCTGAGCCACTAGTTCTCTACAGTGTAAGATCTTTTTATATTACTTTTTCACTCTTCTAAAATGCAGTTCACCGATAATATAACTGAACTAAACACATTACATTAACACAGCATAAAGTTCTTAGTATAAAATTAGGAGAAATGAAGTAAAGTAACAAAATAAAATGACAATTACTTCTGTATGTTAAAAGCTTGAGTAAGCTACACTGGAAGACAAATTAATCAGTCAGTTGCTTACACTTATATCTAGAAGCCTTTTGCATGCCACACTACAAATATGGACTGACATGCCTGTGTAGGTTGGCAACTCAATTTCTGAAATAATGAACAGCTTTTGGATGATTTTGGGGGGGCGAGGGGTGGGGAAGATTTCCTTTAATTTACACTAGTACTTCTGGGAAATAAAGTGTGTTATGAAATTGTGCAATCATATTTGTGATTAATATGTAAGAGATTTTATGTGGCACAAAACTTAATCTGTTTCTCTGAGAGGTTTTATTTGGGGGGGCGGTGGAATAATTATATGATAATGTTTACAATTTTCTATCTGACTTACGGCTTATTCGGATTTTTCTTTTTCATCACTTTGAAATAGTTATACTAATTTGTATTTTTCCTGGAAGTAACCTACTTCAAAAATTCAAATATACCATCATAAAATTGTATAGAGAACTACCTTATTTAAAAGATCCTTCGTATCTATGAATGTACCCCTTTTGTCAGTTCTGAATTTCTTGATTTGTGCTTTATTTGCTTTTTTCTTTATTGAACTTTCCAGTGATAGGTTTATGTCATGTCTTCATTCTGCAATCTTCCTCAAAAAAGGGTTCTTCAATGTAGTTATAATTCTACTTTTTTGTGTTCTATTTATTAGGTTTACTTTTCATTTTTACTTTATCGTTTTCCTAATTTCTCCTCCTTCTTTCCTTTTGTCCTTCCACTGTGCATCCTTCCATTTTCCTTTTTTTATTGCAACAATGAAGCCAGTTTAAGTTGTGATCCCCTGTACTTACCAATTTGACTGAAACCTGTATATTTTGATATCCAGTAGTCTTATTTTTTTCTGATTCTCAATAATCCAAACTTGTTAACTTATTTCCTCTTTGACAGTGTGGAAATTGCTAGAACGTTAAAAAAAAATCTTGTTTTGGGATATTATTGTCATAAGCTTTTATATTATTATTGCATTGTAGTAAACATATCAATAGAAACCCAAAGTAGATTGGCACTAATTTTGATTCTGTCATTGTCTTATCTCCAAATAATAACACCACTATCAAGGCAATTTCATTAACATTTTAAACTCTGTTTTATTTGATTAAGATTATAGTTCTATTTTCTTTTTCTGCTTAGGTTCTAGATGATGACATTATACTTGGAAAATTCTGTGGCAACTCAACCATCTCTCACATTTACTCTATCACAAATAGAATTTGGGTCAGGTTTAAAATAGATGCTTCCATTGAAAAAGTTGGTTTCAGAGCTGTTTATCAAATAGGTAAGGAAACACAAGCTTTTTTTTTTTTTTAAGTTTTTATTGTGAATGAGTGATAGTTTGCATGGTGGAACATCAGTTTTACACTCATTGTTTCATTGCAGTGATTATGATCTTCTCTGTACACATTCAACAGTATTTGCTTCTATTCCCTCTGGTTTTTGTTTTTTTTTGTGTGTGTGTGTTTTGTGGGGGTGGGGAACATACACAAAAGCACACAGGTATATATAATCATTTAAACAACCAAAAGACAAGCCTTGCTTTTAAAATGTTCAATTTGCCGGATTACATGCAGCATTTTAATTTCTTAAAATAATATTATCGTTTCATGTCCTCAGGTGGCAAGAAAGCAGTACTCATAGACAACTCATGCCATCTATGACACCATGGGAGTTGAAAGCGATGGTTTTGTGATCATTTATCACCTTAGAATATGCAATAAAGTGAAGGCATGCATAATTTATCTCCTGGCAAGCATTAATGTCATTTTCGCATTTACAGCTTGTGGAGGTGAATTAACTGGAGATGGCATCATTCGCTCTCCTTTGTATCCTAACGTATATCCTGGAGAAAAGATCTGTCGATGGGCCATCAACCAACCCCAAAGCCAGGTAGTTCTTTTCAATTTCACTGGCTTTGAAATCGGAAGTTCTGCCCACTGTGATACAGACTATATTGAGGTAAGAGAAAATATCTTTGGATAATTGTATTCGGTTATAAATTGCTATAGAATATTATTTCAGGTTATAGTCTGGTCAGTTACATGATTAGTACATATCAATATCTCTGGTGAATATAGATGTAAAGACCTCAACAAAATACAAGCAAACTAAATTCAGCAATATATGAGGATTGCACACTATTTCCAAGCTTATTCCAGGTACGTAAGGCTAGTTTATTATGCAAAAATAAAGTAATGTAATTCATGGCATCAATCGAATGAAATACTAAGACCCCATGGTTATCTCAAAATGTGAAGGAAAAGCATTTCACAGATTATGACATTTTTCATTATAAAAACAATCCACAAACTAGGAATAGAAGGGAACTTCCTTAACCTGATGAAGAGTACATACAAAAGCCCACAGCTAACATTATGTTTAAGAATGAAGATTGAATTTTCTCCCCCTGAGATCAGTAACAAGACAAGCATACCCAGTCTCATATTTTCTAGTCAACATTATACTAGCAAGAGCAATGAGGTTAAGAAGTAAAATAAAATTTATCCAAATAGGAAAAAAAGCATAATGATCTCTTTTCATAGATAACATGATCCTGTATGTAGAAAATCATAAGAATTAACACATGCTGTAGGATAAGCACTGGACTGCTAACTGAATGGTCAACAGTTCAAACCAGATGCTCCTTGGTTAACCCTATACAAGGTTGCTATGAGTCCTAGCCAACTCGATGGTACTTTACAACAACAACAGAATTAATAAATGAGTTCAACAAGGTTGTAGGATAAAAGATCCATATATGAAAAGAAAGTGTTTATCAATATACTGCAATTGATCATTGAAAATGAGATCAATGAAACTATTCTATTTATAATAACATAAAAAAGGATAAAATACCAAGGAATAATCAAGTGCAAATTTTTACTTTGAAAATTACAAAACATCATTGAAACAAATTAAGGGAGACCTAAAAATAAAGTGTGTTCTACCACTAGTCTGTCAGTTTGTTGTACTGTGGTGACTTGCATGTTGGTGTGATGCAGGAAGCTGTGCCACCAATATTTTAGTTACTAGCAGGGTCACCCATGGTGGACAGGTTTCAGCAGAACTTCCAGACAAAGCTAGACTAGGAAGAAGAGTCAGACTACTTCTGAATGTTCAGCCATTGAAAACCTTATGAATAGCAGCAGTACATTGTCAGATACAGTGCTGGAAGATGAAAACATTATAAAGAACTCCAGAAATATGCCAGCTATAGCACTAGGAGATGATCCCCTTAAGCAAGAAGGCACTCAAATATGAGTGGGGAAGTGTTGCCTCTTAAAAGTAGAGTTGACTATAATGATGCAAATTGAACACAGCTTTTGGGACCTTCATTTGAAGCAAAGCTAATGGGCACAACCAAAAATGAGGAAAAAAAGCTGCAAGCATCCATTAATAATCAGAACATGGAACATACAAAGTATGAATTTAGGAAAATTGAAAATTGTCAAAAATGAAATGGAACACAAAAAGATTGATATCCCAGGCATTAGTGAGCTGACATAAAATGGTATTGGCCGTTTTGAATCTTACAATTATATAGGAGTCCTGGTGTGGTGCTGTGGGTTAATGCGCCAGTCTGCAAAGCCATTTGAACTGCAAGGTCAGTGGTTCAAGCCCACCATTCACTCCTTGGAACCCTTATTACAGGGTCGCTATGGGTCGGAACTGACTTGACTGCACTTAACAACAGCAAGTGTGGTGCTGTGGGATGATTTGTTGGACTGCAGGACCAGTTTGAACTGCAAGGTTGGTGGTTCAAACCCACAAGCTGCTTCTTGGAAACCCTATACAGGGTTGCTATGGGTTGGAACCAACTCGATGGCACTTAACAAGAGCAACAACAATGCTAGAAAGACAAATTTAGAAGGATTGGCATTGCATTCATTGTTGAAAAGAATATGTTAAGAGATATCTTGAAATACAGTGCTGCCTATGATAGGATAATATCCAAATGCCTACAAGGAAAACCAATTAAAATTGCTAGTATTCAAATATATGCGTCAATCAACCACTAAAGTCAATGAAGATTTCAACTGTGGAACAAACCATCAATTGCTCATATGCAAGTTCAGGCTGAAGCAGGAGAAAATGAAATCAAGTCCATGAGAACCAAAATATGACTTTGAGTATATACACCTGAATTTAGAGGACATCTAAAGAGCAAATTTGATACATTAAACGCTAATGACTGAAGTGCCAAACAATTGTGAGATCACATGTAGAATAACATGCATGAGGAAAGCAAAAGAAAATTCTAATGCATATCAGAAGAGATTCCAAAAATTGCTCTTGGGTGTACAGAAGCTAAAGTCCCTGGAAGAAATGATGAAGTAAAAGATCTAAACAAAATTTGAAAGGGCAGTATGAGAAGAAGAAACATAGTTTTATGAGGGGCAAGACTTGGAATTAGAAAGCCAAATGTGCAAAGACCAGAGTCAGAAAACCAAAAGGGAAGAGCTCGCTCAGCCATTTCTTAAGCTGTGGGAACTGAAGAAAAAAATTGAAGCCTAGATTTGTAATAATTAAGGATTCTATGGAGAAAATACTGCAGTCAATATCAAAAGAAATGGAAAGAATATACAATCATTGTACCAAAAAAAAAAAAAAAAAAAAAAAATCCTTGATGTTCAACCATCTTAGAAGGTGGTGGTGGTGGTGTGCCATGGAGTCGGTTCCAACTCATGGTGACCCTGTATAGGGTTTCTGAGGTTGTAAATCTTTACGGGAGCAGAAAGCCTCATCTTTGAAAGATAGCATAAGATAAAAAGCCAGTGGTACTGAAGGAAGATGTCCAAGCAACACTGAAACATTTTCAAAAAACATAGCTCCAGAAATTGACAGAATGCAAATGGAAATCTTTTAACAAACTGATGCAGCGCTGAAGGTATTCACTCATCTATGCCAGGAAATTTGGAAGACAACTATCTGGGCAACGAATTAGAAGAGATCCATATTTGTGTCCATTCCAAATAGTGGTGATCCACTGGAATGAGAAAATCACTGAATATCATTGGTGTCATATGCAAATAAAATTTTGCTTAAAATAATTCAAAAACTGGTACAACATGTTGACAGTGTATTGCCAGAAGTACAAGTCAGATTTAGAAAGGAGTGTGAAACTAGGGATAACATTGCTGACATCAGATGTATTTTGTCTGAAAGCAGAGAATACTAGAAAGATGTTTACTTTTGATTTTTTAGCTATGCAAAGGCATTCAAATGTGTGAATCATGCTAAACTATAGACAACATGAGGAGAATGGGTATTCTAGAACAATTCATTGTGTTCATGAGGAACTTATACTTAGTTCAGGAGGCACTTGTTTGAACAGTACAAGGGGATATTGAATGGCTTAAAATCAGGAAAGGTGTGTGCCTGGGTTGTATCTTTTCACTGTACTTACTGAAATTGTATGTTGAGAAAATAATCCGAGAAGCTGGATTATCTGAAGAAGAATGTGGTATCAGAAGTGTTGGAAGATTCATTAACAACCTGTGATATGCAGATGATACAACCTTGCTTGCTGAAAGTGAAGAGGACTTAAAATACTTATTGATGAAGATCAAAGACCACAGCCTTCTATATGGATTGCAGTCAATGTAAATAAAACAAAAATCCTCATAACTGAGCCAATAAATAACAAGTTTTTGACAACTTCAATCATATCTCCATTTGTCATGTTATCATGACAGTGTTCACCAGCACATGTTATCATGATTGAAATTTTCAAAAACTTTGTTTTCCACAATCAACAATCATGGAAGCAACAGTCAAGAAATCAATAGACATATTGATGTTGTTGTTAAGTGCCATTGAATTGATTCTGACCCATAGCAACCCTGTATACGGTTTCCAAGGAACAGCTGGTGAGCTTGAACCGCTGAACTTGCAGTTCAAATGATTTTGTGTAGTCTGACGTATTAGCCCACAGCGCCACACCAGAGCATAATGCATTAGGCAAATATGTTGTTCAATATCTCTTTAAAGTGTTTGAGAGCAAAGATGTCAGTTTGAAGGCTAAGGCGCATCTGATCTAAGTCATAGGATTTTCAATAAGCTCATATGCATGTGAAAGTTGAACAATAAATAAGGAAGACCATAGAAGAAATGATGTTTCTGAATTATGATGTTTGCGAAGAATACTAAAAGCACCAGAGACTGTTAGAAGAACAAATAAATGTTGCAAGAAGTACAGTCAGAGTGCTCCTTAAAAGCTAGGATGGCAAGATTTTGTCTCTCTTACTTCAAATATGTTGTCCAGAGGGACCAATCCCTGAACCACATCATGCTTGGTAAAGTAGAGGATCAGCAAAAATGAGAAAACCTCAAATGAGATGGATTGACACAGTGGTGTAGAAATAGCCTCAAAAGCAACAATTGTGAGGATGGCACAACACTGGACAGTGCTCTGTTGTACATACGGCTACTATGAGTTGAAGTCAACTCAATGGTACCTAATAACCAACAATAGCAATTACAATATGTTATTAGTATAAGGATATAAATACTGATCAGTAGGACAGAACTGAGAGTCTAGAAATAAACCATTATGTTTATGGTCATTTGAATTTGAAAAGGATGTCTACACATTTCAAAGAGAAAAAATAGTCTTTTCATCAAATAATACTGGAACAATTTACATCAAAGTTCAAACACATGAAGTTGGATTATATCTTTATATACATAAAAATTAATCAAAATGGATTATAGATCTAAATGTTAGAGTTAGTATTATAAAACTCTTAGAAAGATAAGAATAAAACTAAAACCTTCAAAGATATCACACTGAAAGCATAAAAAAGAAAATAAAAAAATTGAACTTTAATGAAATAAAAAATTTTATGCTATAAATTATATCATTAAGAAAGTGAAGAGAAAGCCAACATAATGGGAGAAAATATTTGCAAATCATCTATTTGATAAGGGTCTTGTATTCATAATACTTATAGAACTTTATAAAAATAATTAAATAACCTAACTTAAAAATGGGCACAATATTTTAATTTATCTAAAGATTTATACAAATTGCCAATAAGCCCATGAAAAATGTTCACCAGCACTAAAACAAAACAAAACAAAATTGATTTCAACTCATTGTGACCTCAGGTGTATTGGAGGAGAACGTGCACACCATAGGATTTTAAATAGATGTGATGTTTCAGAAATAAATAGCGTGATTCTCCTACAAGGTGCCTCTGGGTGGACTTCAGCCTTCAGCCTTTTAGTTTTGGGTGGTTGTGTGCCACTGAGTTGATTCTGACTCATCAGTACCCGTGTAGGGTTTTTCAAGGCTGTAAGCCTTTGTGTGAGCAGAAAGTCTCATCTTCCTCCTCTGGAGCGATTTTTAGATTCCAACTATTGACTTTTTGGTTAACAGCCCAGTTTGTAACCCACTATATTGCTGAGGCTCCATTTGCACCACCCCGGGTCTCCTTCAGTATCATTAGAAATTTCACTCTCTCTCACTGACATGAGTCCATGCCAACTCACTGTCATCTTGCATAGGGTTTCTGAGACCGTAAATTGTTTCAGGTTCAGAAAGCTTCCTTTTTCTCTCAGAACATAACCATACAAAGGAGCATTATTTGGCCACAAAAAAAGAATGAAGTACTCATATGTGCTGCAACATGGAGGGAACTTGAAATTATGCAAGTGAAAATAGTCTCAAAGGCTCACATATTATTTCATTTATACGAAATGTACAGATTAGACAAATCTGTACTGACAAAGGGTTGATTTATGTAGTAATGAAAATGTTTTAAAATTGATAGTAGTAATGATTGCACAGATCTATCCACGCTTAAAACCATTGTATTGTACACTTTAAATGGATAAATTGCATGGTATATGAATAGTGCTGTAGGAGAAGCACTGATCTGCTAACTGCAAGATCAGCAGTTCAAACCCACCAGGTGCTCCTCGGAAACACTGACCAGGTTTGCTGTGAGTCAGAACTAATTCGATGGCACCAAACAACTATAAAGCTGTTCAAGAAATAAAAGTGTTTCAAATATGTAATAATAATAATAATAGCAGTAAGACTGCTATTATTGAACCTAAAAATGTTTATGTACACCTGTTTCAAAATCCCAAAGTAGAGAATCTTTGACTAAATACTTTGGAAATATCCTATATTTTATACACTATTTGATTACATAACTTTTAATATCTTACAATTAGTGCACTTCTAGTACTACAAAATATCAATAATTATGCTTTCTTATGACCACATTGTGCTGTCAGTTTTTGTGGTTTCTGTATTTTGAGGAATGCCTGATATTTTCATCATTTGCTTTTGCTATCTAATGGAAATATTTCAGAGTAATTATGTTTAATGCAGTTTTCTAAATTAGATGTTTAACAAGCAAACTTGAATGTCTTTTTTTTTTTTTTTAGATTGGCAGTAGTTCCATTTTGGGCTCTCCTGAAAATAGGAAGTATTGTGGCACAGACATCCCTTCACTTATAACATCTGTATATAATTTTCTATTTGTCACATTTGTGAAAAGTTCTTCAACTCAAAATCACGGCTTCATGGCTAGGTTCAGTACTAAGGATTTAGGTAAGAGATTCTCTCTTTCTCCTAGTTTGCTTCTTGGGTTTGTGTCAGAATAAGTAGGCATTGGCAATAAATTATTACATGTATCATCACCCTTGAATGTTTTCAGAGTATATTCAAACTAAGAAGATATGCATTTCCTAATTTAATATCTATCTGCCACTCACCTGTCAGTTTGGCAGTTTGGTGTAATGTCATGATACATGTCATTATGATGATGAAGACTGTGTCATTGTCATCGCAAATACCAGCAGCCTCACCCATCGTGGACAGATTTCAACAGAACTTCCACAGTAAGACAGAATAGTAAGAAAGGCCTGGCAATATAAGTCCCCAAATTAGTCAACGCAGCACTTATAGATCACAACAAAGCATTTTCCAAATTGTTGAGTTTGAACAAGTCATTAGGAGAAATCAATCACTAGAGAAGGGCATTGTATTTGGTAAAGTGTAGGAGTCCTGGTATAGCACTGTAGGATAAGTTCTTGACCATAAGGTTGGTTTGAACCAAAACTGATTCAATGGCACTTAACAACAGTAACAAAGAAAGAGGGCAAGTGAAGGTTACTCTTAGTGAGATGGAATGGCACAATACCCATGACAAAGCACTTGAACATACTGGCAATTTGGAGTATGACATAAGACTGGGCAATATTACCTTTATCTCTTGTATATATGGTCCCCACGAGTCAGTCTGTCTAGTCAATGAAAGTTACCAATAATCAACATCTGTATCAATAGTTAAGGAGTTCTGGTAGCATAGTTGTTACGAATCAGGCTACGAACCTTAAGGTCAGCAGTTCGAAACTACAGCTGTTCTGTGGGAAAAAGATGAGGCTTTCTCCTCCTGTAAAGATTTACAGCCTGTACAGGGTAGCTATGAGTTGGAACTGACTCCACGGCACATCACCACCATATCAATAGTTGGTATCTCAGTGATTCCATATAATAAGCAGTGGATTGCAAGCCACAAGGTCCACAGTTCGACCTCACCAGCTGTTCCATGGTAGAAAAATGAGGCTTTCTGCTCCCATAAAGATTTAAAAGTCTAGAAAATCCTACACAGGGTCACTATGAGTCGGAACCAACTTGACAGCATTTAACAACAACAACATATCAAAAGTTAATTGGAGAGAGAACAAACAAGATGGCATATCAGGTGGAAGTGCAGTAAGGAGCTCCACCAGCAACAACACAGAATACCCGACCAAGCAGGCTCAGGGGATGGTTCCAGAACTCTGAACCACATATAAAGGAATATTTAGAAGGTTGGAAGGCTTACAGCTGGGGGAATTTGTGGCAGAAGCAAGAAATCCATTGCTTTCTAGTTCAGGTTGCTCAGCTGCTCCAGGAGCCACCATCTTGGGTGAGACCAAGTGGGGGAAGGACCGGAGCGGCCACAGATGCCTGGCAGAACCACGGAGATAAAGGTGTGGACATTCTTTTCTTTTGGTAGCTGTTCATTTGTCCCTTGCTGTCTGTGCACCTCCATTCTGGTGACTATAGGGGTGCTTGAGCTAGTGGACACCCCTTACCCACCCTCGGAGGGTTCTACTACGCATGCACACTGATCTTGAAATTTAAAGAGACAGTTTCCAATTAAAACCAAATGGCCACATCCAGCCCCAAACTGTTTACAACTAGAAAAAAGGCCTGAACGGGGATTCTGGAGTGGGACAGGCAGACAAAAAAAGAAATAAGCCAAAAATTAAATCCTAAGTTATGTCAAAATGACCAACAGTGGCATCTTGAGATTTCTCAAGAAGAAGAGTGAAAAGGGAAGCCCATTTCCTGATCACATCTTACTGGAGGCATTCAGAAAGCATAAAAAAATACCAAAATACATACCCATCTAAGTATTAAGGCCACAGATAACCCCTGAATATGCCCAAAAAACAGAAGCAGATGACCATATCTGCACATAAGTGACTGAGGCAAATGAGCTAGAAGTAGACCTACACTCCATACTGGAAGATGGGCAGGCTTTGGAAATGCCTGAGAAGGAATTCCTAAAAATGATTATAAAAGGTATCAAAACACTATACAATGGAGTTGAGAAAAATAAGGAAGAAGTCAGGAAAGTGCTACAGGAACAATCAAATAAGATAGATAGAGCATTGGAAACAATTCAAAACCTACAGAAAGAGGTCCAAACGATTAATAATAGAATATCAGAAATGGACAATACTCTGAAAGGGCAAAGGAGTAGAATTGAATTGATAGAAGCCAGAACTAGTGAGTTAGAAGTTAAATCTCTCATCATTACTAAGATAGAAGATCAAACACAAAAAAAAGGGTAAAAAAATCTGAAGAAGGCCTAAGATTCATGTTGGACAACATGAAGAGGAATAACTTAAGAATTATTGGCATTCCAGAACAGGAACAATCACATAAGCCCACAGAGGAGATAGCTGAAGAGTTTCTGGAAGAAAATTTTCCTAACATCATGAAAAGTGAAAAAAAATAAGCATTCAAGAAGTTCAACGAACCCCAGGATGGATAGACCCTAAAAGACAATCACCAAGACATATAATAATCAAGCTCTCCAAAATCAAAGATAAAGACAGGATCTTGAAAGCAGCTAGGGAAAAGAGAAATATAACATGTAAAAGCAAGCAAATCAGATTACGTTCGGATTTCTCAACAGAAACCATGCAGGCAAGAAGGCAATGGGGCGACATAGATAAAACCCTGAAAGAAAAAAACAAACAAACTGCCACCCAAGAATCCTCTACCCAGCAAAGGTGTCAATCAAATACGATGGTGTAATCAAACATTCCAGGATAAACAGAAGCTAAGGGATTTTGCCAAAGCCAACCCTGCTATGAAAAACACCCTAGAGGAAGTTCTGTGGACTGAGAATCAACAAGAATAGACAATAACTACAGAATGATGTACATGGTTGCATTAACCTGAACTCAGTTGACAAATGGAAGAGTCAAGAAAAGAATAAAATTATAAGAACAAAGGATCTGGATGGTCAGTCTATGATCAAAACAATTACAATGTGAAAAAAGGTAAACACAGAGGAACAGAGATCCAGGTGGTGGGAAGGTCAGGTAGATTACTGGATGAAATAGACAGTCTTAAATGGAGGTAAGAACTAATGGAATATAAGGTAACCATAATGGGGTTGGGGTGGGAGGTTTACTTTGGGTGTTGGGGAGGGCAATACAAGAAGTGGGGAGGAGGCAAAAGAACAAGATAGATAGGGGAACACTGAGACAGGTTTAAATGGCCTAGTGGGACAGAGGGTAAATAGTGATGCATATTCAACCTTGGAACAACAGGGCTCTGGGATAGAGGGATCTAGGTATAGCTTGAAGAGGGTAAATAATACTAAAATCCTTGACTGCCTTATGAATATTAGTTTACCTTGCCTACTATTGTAAAATAGGCACTTGAGTGGGATAGAAAGGAATGTTGGGAAACATGATTAGAGAAAACTTGTAAGCCCGCCTTCAGCCTATAGCTCATTGGAATACCTAAAAGGGGTTCTACAACTTGCCCAGTGAAATAGGCCTCGTGCAAAGCCTTTACAGAGTATAGGACCTTAGGTGGAATCCTGAGTCCCATCCACAACCTTGTGAGATGAGACATTCCCACTAGAAAGGATAAGCAAACTGGAACAGCTACAGTGACAGAAGATACGTCTTCATGATGAACCTGACCTATACTCAGAGCGGTAGTTACTCTAAATACCAACAGAGAGGGAAAGAATCTTCAAATCAAGTATCAATGCTATCCACTCTATATGCAGGGTAGATAGGGACGGGCAACTTAGACACTGGCTATCTAAAATGAGGGGGCAATAAAGGCGTGAAGTGACTGGCTTACAAGGTTTCAAGAGGGAATTTAGTTTAAGAGTATGGGGGGAAAGAAAGAGTCCCCACTTTATAGCTGTCATCTTGTCTAGATGCGTCTGGTGAAAAGAGATGGGGATAAGATTCAATAGTGAATAACTGTTATCATGACTAATCGCGACTGTCACAATTGTAAAGGTAGAAGTTTCGTAAAAAAAGAAAAAAAAAGGGGGGGGGGGAGTGATTAATCGTACAGTCTAGAAACAGAGGACCCTAGGACCATCAAGAGAGAAATGCACAAGCAGAGTGTGGGACCTTATCCAGAGAAGCAGCAGTGCCAGAGATGGGGGCATGGAGAAGGGGGCGTGGCTGAGGACTCTAGATTCATGGAGTAAGCAGAGAGGAACTAAGAGCTGGTGGCCAGGAGCAGACTTGCAGAATGTGCCCTTTGGAGATGTAAATTATTATATATGCCTGAGTGGGTTTTTTTGTTTGTGTGTTTTTTAAAAAGCTAAAGTGGATAGAGAGAAATACTGTTAACTGATGGTACATGGAGGGGATTATAATCAAGGTAATGAAACAAGGTATATGATTTGTTGAATATAAAAATGATTTGTTGAATGTAAAACTGATGCACTGTAAACATTTACTCAATCCACAATAAAACCTTAAATTAAAAAAAGTTAATTGGAGGTTTTTATAGTTAGTAAAAGAAAACAATTAGGTTATCTTTAGTGGTATATGAGGAACAAAAATTTTCCCTTGAACGTGCAAGAGGTTACGATCAGATTATTTTATTTTATAAAATCCAGGTAACTTCTTGGTTATTTATGATAACAATTATTCTTTTATTTCAACAGTTTGTGGAAAAATTCTTACAGAGTCCGCAGGAACCATTCAAAGTCCTGGTCATCCAAACATCTATCCCCATGGTATCAATTGTACCTGGCATATATTAGTCCAACCTGGCCAGCTGATTCGTTTAATATTCATAAAATTTCACCTGGAGTTTCATTACAATTGCACAAATGATTATCTTGAAGTTTATGACTTTGGCTCTGAAATCTCTCTTGGAAGGTGAGGTTTTTGTTGTTGCTGTTTTTTTGTTTTTTTTTCTCTTTTTTTTTTTTCAGTTTTAAAACACAAATCCTTCCTACTTTCTTAGTTTCCTGCTGCAGTGAAGGATATTAAAATCCAAACATGCAGTATTATAAAAACAGGTGGGATCATCATGCTTTTCAGTGATCATTTCTATTGCTGAAGATGATCAAGTTCTTGGCCTTTAGTAATTTGTAAAGTTGTTGTCTAGTTCTAGGTCTGTGTGTATCTCAGAGCCATAAGCTATCACCAGTACCCATGTCACATACATCCTTTGTCCCTGAAACTCTCTTCCTGTCCATTATAATTTCTTCCTTCCATTTATCACCCTAACCTCACCTAATCTGCTTTCTATCATAATGGATTAATTTGCATTTTCTAAATATATATAAAAATCTAATCATACTGTACAAGGAAGCTTAAAAAATTCATGGGAAAAATCATTATCTTTTATTTTAGTTTTCAATGAAATTTTTGAAGGTCCCTCAAATGAATACATTCATTCTTTATGGTTTTTGATCTGGCTTTTTATAATCAGCATACTTAATACAACAAATGTCTAAATTGTAGGGTATATCAGGAGTACATTGTTGTATATTTCTAAGTAGTATTTCATCGTTTAGCTATGCTATCATTTCTTTATGTGGTGAAAGAAGTATAAATGCCCTTTTGATGGGCATTTGCAATGTTTCTAATTTAAGATCATTACAAATAAAACTGTTATGAATTTTACATATACTGTATAGGACTTCTGGTGTGGCACTGTGAATCAGCTTTGGACTGCGAACCATAAGGTCAGCAGTTCAAACCCACCATCTGCTCTTCAGAAACTCTATACAGGGTCACTATGAGTCGGAACTGACTTAACAGCAATCAACAACAACTTTGTATAAGGGAGCATGGTCTTTCTGTCGGATAAGCATTAAACTGTGAACCACAAGTTGGTGGCTCAAGCCCACTAACTTTCCTCAGGAGAAAGATAAGTCTTTCTTCTACAAAAATGTACAATCTTAGACATCCTATAAACGGTTGCTATGAGTCAGAACTGACTTGACAGCACTTAACAACAACAACACATTTGTATAAACTTTCATTTCTAGTAGATAAAAGCATAGGACTGGATTATACAGTAGGTGTAGATTTTCCTTTTTAAGAAACAACCAAAATGTTTTCCAAAGTGATTGCACCATTTTCATTTCCACTAGCAATGCAAGAGAGTAGTTTCAATTTCTCCTCCTCCTCAGCAACACTTATTTTCTGATATTTTTAATGGTCATCACAGAGGGTGTGAAGTGATGACTCATTGTGCTTTTGAGCATTTTCAAATTTGGTTCTGGCCATTTGTATATGTGCTTTGGAGAAATGTCTACATTTAGTTCCCAACAAATGACAGGTAATGACAGGGTTCCATTCCAATGAATCTGTTTCAAGTTGGTTCTGAAGTGAGTCTAATACCTCTTTTTTAAAACTTTGCATTATTCTTGCTTTTTAGTACAAGATCAGCAGTTCAAACCCACCAGCTATTCCTCTGAAATCCTATACCACAACATATAGCAACAACAACAGCAATCTATATGTTATTATTGTTGTTAAGTGTTGTGGAATCGGTTCCAACCCATAGTGACCCTGCATAGGGTTTTTGATGAGCAGCTTGTGAGGTTCAAACCACCAACCTTGTGGTTCAAACCGACCTTGCAGTCCAGTGAATTAACCCGAAGTGTCACACCAAGATTCTCTATATATGGAGTGCTATTGGCACAGTAGGGTAAGCACTGAATTGCTAATCACACCAGTCACCCAAGGGAGAAAGATGAGGATTTCTGTAAATCCTTATGGAAGCATTTCTGCTTCCCCAGTGAGTGGCTGGTGGGTTTGAGCTGCTGACCTTATGATTAGCAGTCCAGTGCTTATCCTGCAACATCACTGAGACAGCTAGTATGTGTCATAGCCACTGTGAAGTTCATCTTTATTTTTTTTGAATGGCATAAAATATAATGACCAATTAACTTGGGAAAGGGGGACATATACAGAGATATTTAAAATTAATTTTGTTGTTGTTGTTATGTGCCGTGGAGTTGATAGCGACCCTGCACAGGGTTTCTGAGGCTGTTAATCTTTACGGGAGCAGAACACCTCAACTTTCTCCTGCGGAGCAGCTGGTAGTTTCAAACTGCTGACCTTGCAGTTCACAGGCCAATTCATAACCACTATGCTACCAGAGCTCCTTTAACAAGACCTTGAATATTTTTTTAACATGAAATATGAGGTTTTGAAAAACGTGTGGAAAAATTCCATTATCTTTTCATTCCATTTTTTAAAAGAACTTTTTGAAGACACCCCTTATAGTATGGTTCACCAAATTTTCCTTCTTTTTCTCCTTCAGAAACCAGCTCATCCATTTCCCATACGTAACTTTTTCCTCTTACTTTGGCTTCTATGGATTTTCTCTCTTCATTGTGTAATTGGGTTAATGTTGTTTTGAGCTGAGATATCTATTTTTCTAGTCACTCCTTAAAGATGTTTCTCTAGGTAAAAGTTCATCAGTTGTTGTTGTGAAGTGCCATCGAGTTGATTCCGACCCATAGCACCTCTGTATAGGATTTCCGAGGAGGAGCTGGTGAGCTTGAACCACACTGTTCTTGCAGTTCAAATGGCTTTGCATTCTGGCACATTTACCACAGTGCGACACCAGGACTCCAAAAGTTTGTATAGCAGGGTTTTTTTTTTTTCTTTTTGAAAATTACAACTCTACGTTTAGCCTTGTAATTTGTTTGTATAGCAGGGTTTTTTTTTTCTTTTTGAAAATTACAAGTCTATGTTTAGCCTTGTGATTAGAATTGCTTGTTTTTCAGCAAAATGTTTATGTGGCTTAGTAATAAATCTTTTCTCTCTCTATAGGCTAGTTGTCCCAAAATTAGTAACTTCACTTATATAGGGATTGTAGAGTGTGGTGGCTCTGTACCACAAGGTCGGTGACTTGAGCCCACCAGCTGATATGTGGGAGAAAGTTGAGGTTTTCTGCTCCTACAAAGAATTACAGCCTCAGAAACCCTTTAGAGGATTGTTATGTGTCAGAACCTACTCAACAGCACTTAAATCAACAAGACATGGATTACTATTCCAGACACTGTTGTAAGCACTTTGCATGACGTGCGTTTGTATATCAAATTCACAAAACAGCTGTATGAAATAGGCGTTAGAGCTGGGGAAGCTTAAGTGATCTGCCCAAATCGTAGTACCTCTAAATGGCATAACTTATCCTAGAGTCTAGACTCTGTGATTTTATGTCACATTGTTTCCTGTTGTTTATTACATTTCTATTAAGTTCATGAATGTGCTATCTGGTATCTTAGCCATAGTTATGCTATCTAATTTTATTAAACTTGTTATACATAGCAAGTCACACAAGTAGACTCACATATACTTACAAAACTATTTCAAGGAAAGAATCATGAATAGGTGATATTTAATACGTTTATTAATATTTTTGCCTTAAATATAGTACTGGTATGCATTGCTTAGGTCAGTGGTTAACACCTACAGCTGCTTCTTGGAAACCCTACAGTGTCGCTATGAGTCAGAGCCGACTTGATAGTACTTAACTACAACAAAATGCATTGCTTAGTGTCCGTGATACATTTTATGAACTAGGACGTTATGTGATTTGGATGTTGTGTAAACACCATATTATATTTAGTATATGCTGTTGTTGTTGTTGTGTGTGATCTGTTGGGTTCCAATTCGCTTATTATTTCTAAGTATTGTTGAGATAGTTGTTTCTCATAGTGACCTGTAGCAACCTGGTATAGATTTTCAAGGATCAGGTGGTGGGTTTGAACTGAAGACCTTTCAGAACAGTCCAGTGCTTATCCTATACCACACCAGGACTCCTAGAAACCCTGTACAGGATTTCCAAGTGCTGCTGATAGGTTTGAATTGCCAACTTTGTGGTTACCAATCCAGTGCTTATCTTATAGTGACACACCTGGGCTCACGTATAGTATATACATTTGTATATATTTGATGCACATACATCAAAGTAACCCGTACAAGCTACCATGGCTCTCCATTAACCTCTCCTCCACTTCCTATCCAGCTCCACCCAGGCTCAGGTTTGCAAACTTGTGCCCCCAATTAGCTGATTAGCTGTCTCTCTATGTGGGACACTCTGAGAGCAAACCTGGGGGGACAGATTAGAAGGATGGGATGGAACAGCTGAGGCCCAGCTGGGGAGTTTTAAGGCTTGGGGCTGTGGCTGATTCATGGCAGCAATGGGAATCAAACTGTGGGAGCTGGAACATGGATACAGACCCAGCTTCCTGGTACCCTTCAGAGCAAACCTCTCCTCCTCACTTCACTGACAGTGGGATGTTCCTTAAAAGTTATGTGGTGTATACAAATATTTGTTTTGTAAAGTTGATAGGGGTTAGATTGTTGTTGTTGTTGTTAAGTTCCATCGAGTCAATTCCGACCCATAGCAACCCTGTATAACGTTTCCGCTATACAGTGGTGAGCTTGAACCGCTTGCCTTGCAGTTTGCAAGGGGTTAGATAGCAAACCCGTTATTTTGTTTACATAGAACCTTCAGTTTTGGGTTCATCATTTCAAATGTGCTAACTAGTTTTTAAAACTGTCCATCTTTTCTTTGGAATAGGTATTGTGGAAAGTCGATTCCACCTTCTCTTACTAGCAGTACCAACTCATTATTGCTCGTGTTTGTGGCTGACTCTGACCTGGCTTATGAAGGCTTTCAAATAAATTATGAAGTGATAAATGAAGCAACAGGTAATAAGACAACAATTTTAACTTGGTTTCATTGACTCCTTTCAAAACAGTACTGATTTCTAAAACATAATGAGAATTCTTCATACCAAAATCAATGACACACAATGACAATTCTTAGAATAAAATGCACAAGCTTAAATGCCTTCCTTATGCAAATTTAGAGTTATGACTAAGCAACAGTATTCGAGTTTTTAAAACTGTACCGTAGCTTTGTTCAGCTATTTAATGCCCAGTGACCAAAACTGCTTTCTCAGAAATTACAGTGTGCACATGGTTTTCTGTACTTCTGTAATTTTACCTCTATCATATATGGGGCTTCAAACGATACGGCATATTATTAGGATTTGGACTTGGAGCAAATCACTTGAATTCTCTGGGCTACTGTTTTCTCATCTGTAAAATTAAGGGATTGGATTTGATGATCTTTAAGATGTCTTCTGGTTCTAATCAACTATGAGCACAGTTTTAATTTGCTGCATGAATAAATTAGCTGTATCTTAGCTAACATGTGGTACAGTCAAAGCCTCATGAAAATCTGTAGCAATATGAAAAGTGAGACAGAAATCTATACTGACTTTGTTTTTTTATTAACCTTTTATTCTGAATTCAGTGAAGGCTTACAAAGAATGTCATCAGTTTTACATTCAACAAATCAGACTTTGTTTCATCTTAATGGTTGCAATCCCTCCATGCAACAACTGTTATCCCACTGCCTCCCTGCAGTTCCTATTTCCATTGCACCCTCCTTTCCATCTTTTCTCAATTTTAGCTTTAGATAAACATTGACCTTTTGATCTTGAATGACTGACAATTCAATGGTATACATACCTTACTAAGGTTGTTGTCCCCCTATATCTACTGCTTGCTGAAAATTGGGCCATGAGGGTGAGTTTCATCCCAGATCTGAAGTGTGGTTGAGGGCCATAGTCTTGGATTCCTCCAGTCTCTATCTGACCAGTAAGCCTGGTCTTTCATATATATATATATATCTATATCTCCACATACACACATATATAAGATTATATATATATTATATAATTATATATATACAATTGTATAAAATTATATATATATGTATATATATATATACACAATTTTTTATATATGTAAAACTATACATATATATATAATTTTGAGTTTGGTTCTGCATTTTCTCTATCTTTAATGTGAGCTCTTTCAGAGCAGTTGGTAGTGGTTGCCAGGCACAATCAAGTTCTTGAGGTCTCAGAGTCATGGTGACTGATGTTCACCTGCCTCATTGGTGCATTGGACTAGTTGATTCCAGACATCTACAATTTTTATCACTCTTCTTTCTCCTGCACAGGGGAAAGACCAATAGCTGCACTTTAGATGGGTGCTAATGATCTTTGAAGTTCCCAGATGCTACTTTCCAAAGTAGGATGTAGAACATTGTATTTTTGGACTATGTCATGCCAGTTAAGTATGGTGTTCCCTGTGACTATGGTCCTGAGCCCCCAGGTACAGCAACTCATTAACTCAAAATATTGGGTAATATCTAAGGAGTTTTCATCATTCTGTTCCCTGTGTGCTCCACCACATTCATAGATGTGTTTGCAGCAAAGGTAAATACCCATGTGCAAATATCCTCGTTTATACCCTTATATGTTTGGAATATTCTCCCATTCTTCCTCACATACTTCTTCAGTCTGTGTATCTGCCCATGTATCTACCTGCAGAACACTATTGTTCCAGGGCTGTGTATATAACTCTATGCCCTTTGACCCTTGATACCTCCCTGTGTCTTTAACTGCCTGCATCTTTCTTCTGCCAATCTGCCTCTTTTTGAACCTATACAGATTTTGATATAATATGGTGCTGTAGAATAACATTGAACTGTTAACCGAAAGATTGGTAGTTCAAGCCCACCAGTTGCTCCTGGGAAACCCTATGTTGTTGTTGTTTTTAAGTGCTGTTGAGTCAGTTTCAACCCATAATAACCTGTATAAGGTTTCCAAGGAGCAGCTGGTGAGCTTAAACCACTGACTCTGCAGTTCAAATGACTTTTTAGTCTAGTTCATTAACCCACAGCACCATACTAGGACTTTGGGAAACTCTATACACAGGCATTATTTAGTGAAGCAAGAAATAAGGGCATTAGAAATAATCTGGTAGGTAAGATATTAAAGTTAATTTTTTATTTAAAAACATTAAAAAAAAATAAGCTATTGTTAAAATGAAAGTAAGTAAAGGACAGAAACAAGCTAGCAGAAAAGGAAACGTATCAAGAAAGAAAATAGAAGAAATGACAGGTGATAAATGAAAAGGGCATATTAAGGTGGCAAATTAGAAAGACTCTCCAATCTGTCTCCCTGTGTGCTCATCACTTTTAGTTCTGTTTAGTTGTAACAGGGCTGAAATCACCTTCTATCCCTTGCCTTAGACCTGGCTGATCACTATGGTCTGTCTTTTGTTGGATGAGCTCATATGTTTGACTAAACACCGACAAACCATTTTGAATAGCATTCACATTATTGGCTCCAAGAAGTCACATGATACCTACAATCGATCATTCTGCCTGAGCCCATAGATCAGGACATGAGTAGATTTATCTCTTTTATTGTTGAGGATGATCCCTATAGGACTGCTCAGGGAAGGAGATTGAACTGAGGTTTGAGCTGGTGACATACACACAGTAGTGAGGTAGCCCTTAGGGCAGCCTGAGTCAGAGTGAGCTGCAAGACCTGGAAATAAGAAAGTGATAGACCTCTTTACAGTTGCCATTTTATTTTCAATCTTTTCTGAAGAATAAAAGAGTATCAGAGAAAAACATCAACGGAAGTCCAGTGATTGGCACTCACTCTATAGTACTGCTCTAACAGAAGCTATTTTCAGAACAATGATGATGTATTTGGTTGTTGGTTTCTAGTTCCTCAACCCACCAGGTGTGAGTTTCCCTGTCTTGCTCTGATAAAGGTTAGGAAACCTGGTTTAAATGGAGTTACTTTTCCATCTGTAGTTCATGCCACATGGCTATGATGTCAGCCCCTAAATATGTGTGTTGGAGGAAAGAGATCGACTTCCTGTCAGTACATCAACTTCCTCCTTCATCATTTTGTTTCTTCCTTCGTGCAGATGTGCCTGGGAAATAGAAATGAACGAACTCACAAGTAAAATGTTAGTAGAGAGAAACTCCTAAGAATTTCATAGTAACTGATTATGAGACTAAGTTTGAAATTTGGCTAATTTAAAATATTTGAATCTTGAGAGAACATAAGTTATTAACTGTGCTAATTTAATTTTATTGATAATCTATTGCATACATACAAATATAAAACTATGAAAGGAGTCTTTAAAAACTATTAGCAAGAACAGGAAAATGTACCTGATACCTTTTCAACTTAATGCGTAAGACTGCAAAGCCATTTGAACTGCAAGGTCAGTGGTTCAAGCTCACCACCTGCTCCTCGGAAACCCTATACAGGGTCGCTATGGGTTGGAATCGACTCGACAGTGCTTAACAACAAAAACAAATAACATCTAGTCCAATGTTTTCAAACTGTCTTCAATGATTAGTGGGTCATGAAATTAATTTATTAGGTTGCCACCTGCATTTGTTGAAAGTCTGGAATGTAATATATCTGAAAAGTTAGATGAGTGTTGCTTCATGAAACTTTTGCTAGCAATCTGTGTATGCATGTGAAGTTGTGTGTAGGCATATTTCTGTTTACTGTGTGCTTTAATCAAGAAAGTTTGAAAACACCGGTCTAATCTAGTTATGATATTTTCTAAATAAGTTGAATTAATCTTCCCATGAACAAGTATCTAGCTGCTTTAAAAACCAAACTGAAACAATTAGATCCAAACGTTGAAGTCATTTCTTTTGCCATGTGCAGATTAGTGCTTTGAACTGCTCTAGATTAATTGCACATATGTGCATGAGAGCATTTAATTCACTACAACGGTCATACATTGTTCAGATTTTTTGCAAAGAGCAGAGATTTACAACTATCAAAGAAAATACCTGGGAAATATCAGAGTCACATTAATATAATATGAAAAGTGAGCCTTCCTGGACATTCTCAAACTCTTCATTTCCAACACAGAGCTCCAGCCCACGCCACAGAGGATATTAATACTGAGTTTCATCCGTCATTCCAGAATGAGTCCAAAAGAGACATCCAGGAGTAAGGAAAAACCCAGAAATGCTTATTGCCGGAAGGTCTAGAGGTAGTTTCCTTAGAAGAAATGAGTAGAGAAAATTTTATTTAAAAACTTTAATCCAACAAGGCAGTATTCTTAAATGACAGTGTTCATAATAAATGTGGCGTGGAATTTTCTTGTTACAGATTCTGTGATGAGGGCCCAACCCAGAAATTCTAATAAAATCATTATCACCTAATATTTCAGTGGTCCTGATAAAACTTTGTCTTTGTAGCTTTTCAGAGGCACTGAAAGTCCAAGTCTTAGGACATAAATTGCTGTAGAATTACAGCTAGGATGGTTGATTGGACTGTAGTCATTCAGGGTGGAAAATACAGGAAAAGGAAGACTGTAGGGAAAGTCAGAAGCTTTTGGTTCTAGTTTCAGTCCTGATACTAATTTTGATGCTTTCAGGCAAATGACTAGTCTCTCTAATTCTTTATATTCACCCTAACATTTTATTTTTCTACTAGCAGTATTCTGATATTTCCCTCTGAAAAAAGCATTTAGTAGGTCTATTAAAAGAGTCATAATAATAATAGTAATAACACATTGATTAAAAGCAACAACTTGAACACATTTCAAAAGTATTATGATAAATGAAAGAAGCCAGAAACATCAGGTACGTCCTGAGTGTTGCCATGCATATTTACTTTTTGAACAGGCAACATTAATCTATGATCAGCTCCTTAGTTGTTGAGCTAGAACAACTGGAGGGAGTTGACAAAAGAGACATTACTTTGTGGCGTGACAGAAGTGTTCTATATCTTTATTAGGATGGTGATTAAATGGGTATACCATTTTATAAACCTATCAGTGAATTTTATTTTATGGAATTG